ACGATGGTTGATCATGAAAATTCCTCTGAATTAATTTCACTCTGTTCTATTCAATAATGTACATGCACCGCTTCAAAAATTTGACTTTGCAATCTATGACTTTGTCGATGTAATAATTTGGTTATTTTCTGATTCGTTGTCTACACAAGTCTATTTGAGAAAAGTCTATTTAGGATCTGTTTGATACAGTTTTCAAAAGATTAAAAGTTAATTTTGATATTAAAAAAAAATTACATTAGAACATATTTAAATAATTTTCTAAAATTGCTTTATTGGCTAGAAAAGTTTTTAAAGAAAATTGGCCGAAAGTAACTTACGAAGATTTTCTTAAAAAAAAACATAAACAAAAGTAGAATTATGCCAAACGGTCCTTAAAGAGATTTTATTTTAAGAGTTTAATACTTGTTTATTTTGCATGTATATATAGATTTAACATTTTCATATAATAATCTTGCTACAGACTACAGTGAGAAACTCAACGACAAAGGAAATATGTATCAATATATAATTGGACAGTTTGAAAAAAAATAAATAAATAAATTCAACCCTGCCCTGTCACACCACCCTGTCAACTTCCCCGTCATTTGTCCTGTTTGAGGAGCATTATTGTGAATGGGATTAAATATTTGACTTTTTTTTAGCACTGTTGGAGCATTCTAAATGAACACAAAAATATCTCCAGTATCGTTGCAAGTCTTTCTAGCTATATAAGTCAACCTTGTTGACTATGAAATGGAAGTTCACAAGCAATAAACTCGTAAAACTTGTTTGCCTTTTTACCTAACTATATGACTTAGTTTATATATATATATAATGATTTGAATTATCTTAATCAAGGTGAAATGTCCTTAAAAAAACTTTTTGACTGCTTACACATACATCATTTCTTATGATATTATCGTCATTCGTCCTTCTTTTTATAATGATCTCACAATTTTATATGATTGTCATTCTGTTACTTATCGTTCTTTTGACTCTCAAAGTGTACGAGAAGCCTAGAGAAAACTTGAGAAAGAGAAGAATTCGAATACCATTGAAAGAGTATCACATATATTAGATTTAGCCTATATTTGGTTGGCTTATGTTTATAAACATTTAAACAACTTTTTATTCGCTTATTTCATGAAATTTACAAGTATTATTACTCATATATTCACCATCAGTTTATATCTATTTATAAACAACGTTGTTTATAAACACTTTCCAAACATGTTTTTACTCTGCAGACATCAAAGAGCACCTCAACACATAAACAAAATTCATCACTTCTTTTATTGCGTGCGTGTTTGGCTAGGCTTTTTCTTGGAATGAAGGACTAAGTAGTAACTATAATCAAACAATAGACAAAATGGAAATCAAGAAATACAAATGACAAAAAAAGAGCCAAATAGGTGGCTTAAGTATCTGAAGTACACCTCCAAAGAAACACAAACTACATAAAACACCCATCAATGGATGCCAAAAATCATATACCAGAACATAATAACTTCATCATTTGCACACAATATTCTGAAGTTGTTGTGTAGCAATAGAAATTTGCATGGCACAATTCATATTAGTAGACTTATTTTTCTTAATCACCTTCATCAGCTCCACCTTCCCCCTGAGTTCTGATTGGCTAGTAAGGTTCACAAAACCAGAACCCAAATCATTTCCCAGCTGGGAGTTCGCCGGAAAGCTCAATTCCACCACCTCATTAAACTTCCTCGTCTTCCGTGCTTTGGCTCGCGCTCCCTGCACCACCACCTTGCCAACCATATCGTTGCCGTGGAAGAAAGAAACAGTGGTGTTCAGGTACTTAAAGTGCCCGAAATTCGCGTTCTTCACTCCAAACTCCGCATTCATCGTGAAATTCAACGAAGGGTTCGTTCGTGTTCCAGCGTTAAAGTTGTTCAACGTTGCTGAACGCACGCGAAACTTCGGAGTTCTGATTTTCATTACTGTTAGGGCAAAAAGCAGTATGATCCCAGTTTGAAAAACGGCAAAGATAACAATATAAAGTAAGCATTTCATGCGTTTCTTTTTGCGTAATTCTCGTGCATCATGGGATGCTGATTCTGTGTCACTTCGAGGATAGCCATTGACTGTAGGTGCCAAAGGGTTTGGTGATTGCTGCTGCTGCTTATATCCTTCCATCAAATTTTCACTTTCAGAGAGAAAATAATCAGATTATCTGAAGAAAAAAAGTATATTTTTCTCTCCCTTCTTGCCTTTTGATTTTTCTTTTTTCAGTTGGAGTGAGAATAAGAAATTTTGGGAGTGAATGGAAAGATACTAGGGAGTAGCAACTTATATAATCAATTTTTTTTTTTTTGTTTTTTTTTGAACTTAAAATTAACGCGTCAGGCTGCTTATTTGGACTCTTGACTTACTCTATATAAAGTTGATTTTTCGCATCAAGTGAATGTGATCCTTAGAGAAGGTTCTACCTGGAAAACATAACGTGTATAGGTGGTTATTATAAAAATCAGACAGCCCAATTATGACTTGCCACGTGGAAATAAAGGGTTTTTTTTTTTGACAAAGTCAAGTGTGTGAAATGTTTTCACATTTGACCTTCTAGATGGATAACGAAATTGTGTGAGCTAAAATTTATGTTTATTTTCAATAGAAATTTGATGTTTCAATTATCTTGTTTAAGTTCATATTCTTTCTCATAATAAATATAATTAGGTCCGATTTCATAGGCCCTTTTTCTCCATGGAAAATTGAATTAAAATTTCATTTATGACTTTTGTCATATTTGATAGCTAAAATTTTCTATGGAAAATATTTTTCCTCCCACCCCACATGACCGATTTTTCCATATTTTTGTTGAATTGATTTTTCCACTACTTTGGTGAGAAAATGGTTTCTAGCCTTTTTTATTTTATTTTTTACAATAAAACAAATTCTATGGACAATTCCAAAAAAAAAAAAAAAATTCCCTTTATTGGACAATTTGCATGAAAAACAAAGTCAAACGAACACAAAAGAATCCAAAATTTCAACATTTTTCAGGTGGAAAATTATATCAATCAAACACAATTAATTGACAATTCACAGGAAAATAATTTTAGACAATTCAATTCTCTGTAATTCATTTTCTTTCCATCCAAATTTCACTCTTGCAATCAAACGGACTTTTAGAGTTTTTGAAATGGACTTTCAAGGTAAGAGAAATTGTTCATGTTAAATTGAAGCCGTTGAATATATTATTGGAGTCTATGATTAAATTATATATCTATTCTAACATACTATTGGAGATACGAAATTAAATATTTTAGCAATGTCCATATATTTGTTTACACTAGTTGCTTGTCAACGTTAATTGCACATTATTTTGAGAATTTTAAAGAGCTGTTCTCTTCGTGTTTCAATTTAATTTTTGAGTTTTTGATTTTGTATTTTTAGTGTCCATTTTAAAGTTGTTGAATACCCGTTCTTTTTATCATTTTGAAAAATTATTTTCAAAAATTAAAAAAATGAAGTTTTAGTTTGGTTTTAACTGAAAAC